GTGTATGTGTGTCTGTGTGTGGGCTTTGGAAACTTGCAGGTTGTCTGGTCTGGAATTTGTACAGTTGAGAATGAGATTCAAAGGAGCGCAGCCATGGGCTTAGTGCGGACTAACATTTTCCCGAACATTTCAGACCGGAAGAAACGAAAGTACGGATTCCCACGACAGGGGAGAGGGGATGCATGAGCACGGGATGGGGGAAGTCGAATAAAAAATCCATTTGCAGGCGCCGCGTTCTCCCTTTCCCTTTCTCTAGCTTCCTCTTTTTTTTGTTTTTGGGGTAAATGTGGCTATTTTTTGCTCATATTTCAGAGGGAATGGAATTACAAAACAAATTACAGAATCCAAAATACAAAATAAGAGGCATATTTCTCACTTTTATGATGTTTACTGGACACGCCCCCTGAAAGAACCCTGCTTCGGGTGACCTTTCACCCTTATTAGAGCAGCGGGACAGCGCCGCCTTGTTCTCTGCGATGTATTTTTTTTGTTTTTTAATTTTGAATTTTGAATTTCGAATGGAAATTTACATAATTTATGGGCAGCAACAAAAGTCGCACACAGATACGGGATCCTGCAGAAGGAGTCGCGGGAGTGTCCGTAGCATATGCCAGGACCACATTTTTTTCATTAAAAATATGTTTATAATTTACGATTTTTTAAACCACGCGACAACAAATGAGGCGCAAATTATTTTCGGCTCATTCCGAGCTGGTTTGCTCCTTGATTCGGTCAGAGTCGCGCCTCATTAAGAGCTCATTAAAGTCCCGAGACTCGAGACCCAGAGGAGAGAGCCGCGCCAGTTATTCCTGAGCATTTTAACACGTTTTTAATTTTAATGCATTTTATGGCCCCCCCTTAACGATGTCTTAACTTCAGATTCCCCTCCCCGCCCCCTGCGCGTCATTGGATGCTCTCGCGGGCTGACTTTCACTTGTTGACTGTCGCTCCTGCTCCGCGACATCCTCGTCAACGTCACCGCACATCAGGACATCAGCACGTCAAACTTCATTAGGAAGGGAAAGTGGAAAGTGGCAAGGATGTTGCAGGGGGTGAGGGTTGGTTGCTGCTGCTGCTGTGGTTCGTTCATTGTTTTTATGGTTTGCGCTAATTAGTTACGAAGTCATAGAATTTTACAGGCATTGCTCTCGAGGACTGACAGAGAAGTTATTGTCTGTTGCCCGTAATCCGCCCCTGGTCTGACGCTGAAGCAGTCATCATTTGTGGTTTCCGCCGTCTGCAGAGAGAAGGAAAGGAATAAGTTTATTCCAACAATTTGTGTAAGCTCGTGCCACAAATTAATCAGAAGGAAACCAACGCCAGATGAGTGACCACTTGACCAGGCCTGCAGACGGAGTATAAATCTCTGGATCGCCACGAATCCCAGCCAGAGCCCAGAATGCAGCCAATTACAGGGAAACCCATTTGACAAAGTGGTAGACCAGGATCCAAGATGAGCCCAGCTCCGACTAAGATGTTGGGCGAGTCCATAAATTTGCGGGCGACACGGACATAATTATGCAGACAGGCGGCCTTAAGGGGTTACCGAAAGGGGAAGACACATCCCCAGATCCCTGGGATTTTAAATTAAAATAAGTAGAAACGATATTACGACTATGGGATACCGGCTAATCGGGAATGTAAACCAAATTTTCAGCTGTAGCTCCTCGTCTGGTACATTTATACCATCACGATAATACTTGCTGGTGATCATACAGACAGACTTACATTTTCACGTATAGAATATACCCTTTCTACTTTAAGAGTACCGGGTATAAGTACCACGCCCCGCTGTTATAAATCAAAGTCAGTGGGCTTTGTATTGGATTTGGCGAAAGGAATTTGTAGACATTAAGAAAGTCCAGCTTCAACTTCAACATTAACTCCTTCTCCCAATCGTAGTCCTGTCTTCCTGTTGCTTTCCTGCTGTGGATTGGGGGCGTTCAGGCATTTGAATAAAGTTGGACCTTGTTTGGGGAAAGTGTCGCTGACATGTTAAGACTTCTCCCAGATTTATAGCCCTGGCCGAGAAACGGAAGGACCAAGGAAGCTGGAAGGAGGAGTGACAGTTGGAGGTGGAAGCCAATTTAAAAATTGAATTCCAAATCCTCCTGCTCCTGCTGTCGGCTAATCATGCATCGGATTGGTTCGGTTCGACACATGTGTGCGGTTGTTAGATCTCTTATCGTGGCAAAATTTTGACACATGCCACACCAAATTCCATTCTCCATTGTCAATCTCTCAAGCACTCTCCGGCACTCTCCGAGGGGCCTAATGCGATTATTTGCTGTGTTTTTGCCCCAAATTCCGCAAAGCAAAGCAAAGGCAAAGCCATTTGCCAGCAGCTCTGATTAAATTGGATTGTAGATGCTCATAACTGTCACACATGGCCCCGTGGAGTGTCAACACCACCAAACCACCCAAAAAACAAGGAACAAAAACATGAAAACAAAAAAGGAAAAGTGAAAAGGAGAAAGGTTAGAAAGGACTAGCCGATGAATGGAATACCCTTGCAACACTAGGTCTTCTATTCTAGAGTTTGGATTTACACCAAATGTTACCTCAATCTCAGCCATTAAGAATCAAAGGATTTCCCATCCCATCTCATCCGCTGCTGCATGGCAAAGCAATAGTCGCCCTTCGGACAGGGTATTTAACAAAATTCAGCATAGTTTTTCAATAAACCCATCAAAAGGTACGAGCGCTGATGCTCTTGAGCCCTCACCCCTGGCATTGTCCTGCCAATATCCCCGACCCTGTGCCCGTGCCCCTGAGGATGTCCTCCAGGCAACTCATCGTAAACGCAATTTGATTTATGGACAATGTGGAAATTGAAAATTGTCGCATGGTCACTTTAATTTCTGAGTTATGCGACTTTAAACCGAGTTGAGGGATGGCCCCGGCCCCGGCCCCGGTCGCTGATGAGGCAGGAAGTGAATTATGCCATGCTTCGTTGTGAGGTTATGTAGCGATGACACACGGTACACGGTCCACGTTACACGGTACAGTCGCCGCACAGAGCTGTATCCTGAAGAAACTGTACTTGTTGACCGCCCCGGCCTCCGCCTTGCTGCCTTCGATTTTGTTGCGTGTGAAAGGAGGAAATGGCACGCGTCGCTTGTTAGTCGCTCGCTGTTGCAAGTTAAAGAGCAATCGGGGCGGACCTGGGCGGGGCAGCAACAACCCTCATTGTCTCAGCTCGTCCTCGTCCTGGTACCGGATCAGGGTGGGGGTGGGGTTGGAGGTGGAGTTGTGCTTGATGTTTGCCTGTTTGCTGCTAGTCGCTGAAGTGCCTCGACGGTTTAGTGTCGGCTTACAGTTTTGACATTTGTCCGATCGGTGCGGCGAGAGGCTGATTGCAGATGAGTATCGTCGAAAGCGGATGATGGATGCATTCTCCTCCTCCTCCTCTCCGCTGAAGTGTGAAATATGCCATCAACTTGTCCACTGTCCACTACGCCTTCTCGGGAGTCCAGTTCTCGATATGGAAGGACATTCCACGCATCGCTCGTTCCCGAGAATGTTAACCCTTTTGTTGACCCTTGGGGCCGCTTGACAAAGTTTCACTTATTTGGCAATTATTGGAAATATTTTCCAGTTTTAATTGAAAAACTGAAACCGAAGCTGGCCCTCCCGCTGGATACCCTTCTGGTCTGGGCCACTTTCATGCATGCCTGCACCTGCTGCTGCTCCTGTTGCTGCTTCTGTTGGTCCACAATTAAAATTGCTCATAGCCCCAGCCCCTGTCGTAGGTCCATTGGAAAAGTTTTCATGGTTATCACTTTGTGCCGGCTCCAAGGGGAGGAGGTTTTATTTTTCATGGCTTTTCAATTTTAATTGAAATTTATGCCCATCTCTCAAAGGGTTTGTCCGCACCAAGTGGGCTCACCAGCCAGCCCCCTCTGGCCAACACTCCTCCAGCCACGTGTTCGCCAAAAAAGAAGTGTGGCAAATTGTTGAAAATTTCAAAATTTACATGTACAATCGCCTGGAGCGATCCTGGAAGGGGTGAAGCAGAGGTGGAGCAGGGCGGAGTCCTGTGATTTACAGCCCGCACTTTGGTAATTTACGAGCCGCAGCACTTGAAACAGAAACAAAAACAGAACCCAGCAGAACCGAACCACACCGAAACACGGAAAGTGCATGCAAAACATTTTGTTATTTTGTTGTTGCGGCGCCATTTTATTGCCATTCGGTTTGTTCATGTGTAAAATTTGAAATTGTTGTAAATAATTACCCTAATGGCTGCATGCCCCCCCCATTCAATCGTACGTCTCCCAGTCTCATAGTCTCCCTTCTGTGTCCTGTATCCCGTGTCCCGTGTCCGATGTCCTCGTGGACCAGTTGCCACTTCTTTTTCTTGTACAGTTAATTTGTGAGCCGAGCCGAGCCGGCAGCGTCGCCATTTGTAATTAAGCCTAAACCGTTAATATTTCAGCCAGATAAGAGCAACTGCACCCTATCCTGTCCCCGTTCCCCATACCCCCTCTCCCAGTCAGAGCCATTCCCATCCCAAAGATAGCCATAAATTCTGAACCAAAAGTTGGTCCTTCGGAACAGGATCAGCGCCAAATTGTTGGGGAAACATTTTACGGTTCGGCGAGAGCGAATCTCTCCCATGGTCCATGGTCGGGTGTTAATTTCCAGCCAGATTTTTTCTTATCACAGCCCCAAACGAAAGTGAAAATTCACTTTCCCTCTGCTTCTGTTTTGCCAAGAATTTAATTAGCATACCGAATCGTTAACAAGATTGGAAAGCCCCTGAGTTATGTTATGCACAAGTTTCGCATGGAAATCTGGATTGGAGAGGGGAAGGACCTCTTCTTCGGGGTTGCCGAAATTGTAATTAAGAAATGTGCCTCTCGACCTGCAGAAAAGTGCTTGCTAGTCAACAGAAAATGGGGAACGGAAGAGGGAACTGAATCACAATAGAGAAGTACATAAATCATTATAATTCAAGTAAACAACACCCTATATACGAATACAAACGCTGTTTACAATTGTGTTTCTTACAATTTAGCTTTATTTGTAATGGTTACCCTAGCCGGCTTCCGATGGTTCTTCTGAAACTCTGAAAGAGTTCATAGAAAACTATATGGATCTGCCATATAACCATATAATGGCCATAATCATCCTTAACAGTACGATTATGTATACTGAGGATCTCTTGGATCGCAAAGAAGTTAAGGCTAAATCTAAATTAAGTTAAGCTACGACTATTATCCAAAGCGAGTGAGTCCGATGCTAGCCAATGTGGATATCTAAAAAGTAGAAGGAATAGAACGATATGTTAGCTTGTTGGCTTGGCACAACATACGACACAACTTACTATTATGATGGATGTTAATGTTAATTTTGGGAATCCTTATTTTCGGTTTGGCTCTGCCTTTCGGCTTGGGGGCCGCGAAGGCATCGCCAGAGCAGAGGACCAGGAACGCCAACAACAGAAGCCACCCGAACCTGAAGTATTTCATATTTAGTGCGAATATTTATGGTGCGACTGAGCGCGGCTGAGAGCTAAACGATTACTGCGGTGTAGCCGATGACCGTTCTTAAATAAATCATCGGGCGAAGAGTCGGAATTCCTAAACATTAACCATCTATGTCATTGGGAATTCTCCCGAATTATATAAAATCACCGAAACGCTGACGATGATAATGATGATGATGATGATGAAATCAATGAGGCTGTTATCTGTTTGGATTTTACCACTAGGGCGTGCTTATCAATAGATCCGAAAGTAAACCCCCGAGTGAATGGAATGGAATACCCAGAATACCAGATCTACTCGCCAGAGCTAGCTCAACCCATCCCATTGACGGGGAGACTCACAGTGACAGCCCCTGCACTCGAGTGTCGACTACTCGAACATAAACATGCATAAATTGCATTATAAGCGACCCAAACAAAGCATTAACCCCCTCCCGGCGATCGCCACCCCTCCCACTGCCCGAGCAGCCATAACTATTCATTATCGACACATAAACGACCCTGCGACCCTCTCCCGGGCCAAGGGCAGGGCAGGGCACTCATAACTTCAAATTTTTATTAAATAAACAGAACAAAGCAATGGCCGGAAAATGTCCCATACCCGTACTCGCACTCGTACTGGTAAAGAGGGGAGGACACAGGACCTAGGACATATGCACGAGCATCCTTCTGACCCACTAAATTGGGAATATGCGAATTGCATGGCTGGAAAGAACCCTTTCTATCCTAGAGCCCATCCCTCGAGCATCTCCGTCTCCAGCACATCCTGCGTAATTCAATATTTGACTATATGAGATTTATGGCCACAGGGTCTAGCGACTTCCGCTGGGCTGGTAACGTCCTCGTCCTAGTCGTTCTAGTCGTCTTCGTCGTTTTATTTGTATAAAGTATAATTTTTGATTTAGTGCGATTTGTGTCAACGGTTCGAGCTACGCGCCGCGGAGCGCCGCACGCGCTACGGGTGGCAAAGGGTTGAGAGCAATAGTTTCGCAATATCCGAAAAGTGAAAGTTTGCTTCGCTTTGTTTGCCTTGGATGCGATGGTGCGGATATGAGACCGCATGCTGATTGTCATTCAGGATTGTGGAGGGAGTACTTACACCACTCCATTCTCCTGCCAGGCGGAAGCGGATGTTATGCCAGCGGAATGCGCATAAAAGTTTATTATTATGCCCGAAATTTGGTGGAAATTGAAGAGAACTGCCAGTGCAGATGACAACAAATTACTTTGTTTGGCTTTGGCGAATACGCGAGGGAATTAGCGGAGACGCCTCGCGGCAATGGCAGCTGGGGTCTTCAACGGGGATGGGGTTGCTGGGGCACACAGGTACACAGGATGCAGACGCCAGTGCCACCCGATAAGGCGCGAAACGGCTTGGCAAGGGAGAAGCAATTTCCCGCGAAAAATTTGCATAGCTCGTGGGAGCGAACAATCGCAACTAATCAAAGGGTTGCGTTGCCGCACGGCCGGAAGCACGAGACATGCGAATTTATTACAGGTTGCATCAAATTTAATTTTCATTCGGAGCGTGTGCGGAAACTGCCGATGAACCGGCCCGCCGTGGAGATTGACTTACCCAGTCAGGCGCGTAATGAGGTGAGGTGTCAGCGTTGCTTCATCTCCTCGATCTGCTTGAGCAGCAGCTGCAATCGATCCTTCATCAGCGGCTGGCCGCGTTGGGTGCGCTTGCTGATGGCCTTGGTCTTTTCGAGGCGCTGCTTCTTGTAGGCCTTAATGCGAGCCTCCTTTTCAGCCCGCACCTGTTGGCGCTCAGCCTCGGCTTTGGATGCCTTCTGCTGTCGGATCATTTGGCGGATCTCGGGCTTGTTTGGTTTATCCTGAAATGCAGTGCGGAATGTGTGAGAGACGGGCGGCATAGCATTTTGCTTATACATACTGTTTTCGGCTTCGCCTTGTGCTTCTGCTTAAAGTTTGGCTTCTGCCATTGCGTGGCCTTGGCCTTGCTGTGCGTTGGCTTTTTATTGGGTTTTCCCTGCGGCTTTTGTGTTTTCGGCTTCATCTTATTCCACTTTTTTTTATAAACAAACGAAAAACGTGCTTAAACAGCTGTTGCAACAGCAACACTAGTCTCTGTGTCGAATGTATGTAGATGTGTAGTTACGGTGTAAATTACTGATACATCGGACTTTTCTCTTACGTTTTATTTGTTTTGACCTATTTCGCTAAAACCTTTTTTTAGACAAGATCCGATAAAAGCAAGTGTTTAAAATAAACCAGACAATTAGAAAATAGGTTCATTAATTGAATAAAATTATGTGGGCATGGCTAAATGTTCTATATAACTAATAATATTCCACGGAATATCAAAATCGAGGAATATGTATAATAGAACTTGAATTCGTCAGTATTTTTACTGTATATGTTTAAAATGAGACGGTATATTTTGGCATATTTTTGACGGTCAGACCGTATATTTTCCGCGATTACAGCTCTACAACGTTGAAAATGTTAAAAATAACTAAATTCATTGCACAAAATGGCAAGTATATTGTCTAATTATTTGGGAAACGTCTAATCCAACCTTCGCCCACTAGCTACTGTTGTCAATTTAGCTGGCAGCCGTTTGGCCCGGCCTGCAACGCGCTTTTATGCCCAGGCCGGCATTGCGGAAGGCAAAACCACAACACGAGACTCGGATGAACCGATTGACATAACGAATCCCTTCGAGAAGGACCCTCAGCAGTGCATACTGTGCAAGAACAACATCACCCCGCACTACAAGAATGTTCGGCTGCTGTCACAGTTCCAGTCGTCGTACACGGGACGCATCTACGGACGCCACATAACCGGGTTATGCAAGCAGAAGCAGGAGGATGTTGAGCGGGCCATTCTTCGGGCACAGCAGTGTCTGCTGATGCCGGGGTACCACAAGGACCTGGACTTCCTGCAGGACCCAAAGCTCTTCGATCCGGAGAGGCCCGTGCGGCCCCATAAATACTAGTTTGCACTTAAGTTTTGTTCACAATCTGTTTTTATTGCGGAGTAATACATTTTGCCACCGTGAAGCATTGTCCGAGTGTCAGTCCTCCTCCAGGTACCGCAGCATCTCGAGAGGAATACCTAGTTGTATCAACACGGCCTTCTTTGTCGGCCGGGGATCGACCATGGCCTGCAGGTCGTTCATAGTAGCTATGAATCCCCGCCGCCAGGTCTCGATGTCTGCCTGCAGCTCGGCGATTCTGCTGTCCTGTGGTTCTACTTTATCATCCTCCTCTTCCATTTGCTCTTTGTCCACTACTTCTTCATCCTCCTCTTCCATTTGCTCTTTGTCTTCCACTATCTTGGCTCTTTCATCATCCTCTTCCAGTCGGTCCTTGTCTTCTACTATCTTGCCCCTTTCATCCTCTTGCAACTTGCTGGCCACTGTACGTTCCGCTTTCTTTGCTTGTGGTTTTTTTTCTTTTTCTCTTGGAGTGGACTCCTTCTCGCTGGTCTTCTCCTTAAGTTGGCTTGCGGCTGCGAACTCCAGCCGCTTCTTGGTCAGCTCCGTACGGATGCGGGACAATCCGATGCGTTTGCGACTGTTTGTGGACAGCGGAAGGGCGCGAGGAGTGTCTTGTTCTGTCCGATCTGTAGGTGTAGTGGTTCCCAATTCCTCCCGCTGCAGCCGCAACAAAGGCGTGGTGTGGCACGCCCGTCTCATCAGACCAAGCCGTGGTCTCCGCGCCGACTGCGGGGTTCCATTCGCTGCCTCTTCCATTCAAAATCCGCAAAATACATGCGAAATGGATTCAAATTGAATTGTTTACAAATTTTATAAAAACGAGGGGCTGCCAGACTGCCTGCAAAACTAGTTCCAAGAACAAACACTGCCATGGCGCCACTGAGTCTTGTAAATTCAACACTAGAGATCGTTTGTGACAATAAAAATTAATAATTTTTTTTTTTTTTTATTACTGAGTTGCCGGTGGTCGCGCAAGTAATTCCATTTATAATACAGGCATATCCGGCAATTTCAGCTCAAATCGTGCCGATGGAGATGCCGGCCCAGCCGAAACATTTCCGGGTTTGATTCCATGTGATTCCGGCTCAGAACGTGTCAATGTCTGTGACGTCCACCTTTCTCGCTTCCAACGATCCAATCGCAAATTATTCTTCCTTTTAAGCTCACACTTGGCTATGTGATTGTACTGGGTTACTTGTGTGGCTGTATAGGGCTTATATTTTTCCTTTTTCGTCGCTCTGACGAGCATGGCGTTTATCGCCGAATCGGACTTATTCGCAAGGCGTCCCTTCTTCTCCCGCTTTAATTTGGCGTCCCACACAGAGTTGAAGTAGTGCATTTTCACGCGTACTTTGGTACGCAGACACAGGGACTTCACTTCCTCGCTGCTGTACTCGCGCTGCAGATCCTCAGAGGTTATTTTCTGCAACCGCATTACATGTAATGGCCGCTTGCTTGAGGTGTCTTTTACTTACGGTGGCCGCGTTAAATGCCGCAAACAATTCACGGTCGGTCGTATTTTTCGCCTTTCTCATCAGCTTTTGAGCCTTCTCGGTCTGAAATTTGTGGAGAGCATAGCTCAGCACTGAGCGTGCCATTTTGGCGTTGTTTCTTATCTTGTATTTATTTGCGCCTTACGTTCAATTTCTCAATTTACCGCAATTTTAATGCAGCTCTGGATTTGCAACTCTGGGTTCACTCCGTGGCGAAAACATCTCTGTGTACTTGCCATGTAGAGAAATTCGGATGTGCATTTCAACAGAAATCTTTATCCTATGGAAAGTGTATTAATTGGAACGAGAACAATTAAAAAAGCAGAGAAGATATTCACGGATTTGATGAAAAGGTCTCAAAGAGTCGTCTTAAAAAATCCCTCTTAGGGTCTTTCGCTTTTTACTTCCTCTTCCTAAATTACCATAATAGGTAGTTGTATTTATATTTTGAATGCATACTGAATATTAGACAGAAAGGTTCAAGAGCCGTGTGGCTTGACAGGATGATGATATTTAAGGTGCTTTAGTTTTTATTGTTTTTTATTCTATATAGTTGGTATGAATATATAAACCACGCGCTGAATATCCTGTCTTTTTAGGGATTGTATAAATGGTCTACAAAAACTATGCGCGCTCTATATGCTAATCTGTTCTATGACTAAAAGTGACCTGATACTGATACATACTGAAATTGGGAACGCCCGATCGATCCGTGGTGGTGGATGCCGCACCAACTTGAGTGTACACATTTTGGCTTGAATCTGAATCTCCACTCCACTCCGCTCTCACCACCCCTCCCAAAATCGACTCTGATATGATTATAACTAATCGTAGGTTGAGGCCATGGGGCTAAAGCGATTCACTTACAACTGAACAATGATGGGCAGACGGCCGGAGAGCATATTGTAACGATTGCCAAAAAGGAAATTATTGCAATTACAGGTCGGAGAAACGGTCGCAGGTTGCAGGTTGCAGCTGCAGGTCGGAGTTCCTGGATTGGCAACAAAAGCACTTACAAACGAACCTAGATCGAAGCATTAAACTACGGTACGACTACGAAAAGGGGTCCAAGTCAATGTCCATCCACTACGGTACTATGGCAGCTTGTGGTAGCGCTCGACGTCCGCTCCCCGGAAGCTGACCTTGCACACGCACTGCTGGGTCGACGACAGCAGGACTAGGCACTCGCGACAGACCAGATGCTGGCAGGTGCGTATCTCGTAGCCGAACTGACTGCTGCGGCAGTTGATGCAGCGGGGTGGGGTTCCCGATCCGGCAACGGATCCTACCTGGGTGAAGCGGGTGATCTTCTGGAGAGCTTGCTGGAGGGCCTGGTCGATGGAAGACGGACCTGTCGTCGAGGTAGATGCGGCTGCAAGCGACTGGTGAACGCTGCTGGCCGTGACAGTGGCACACGCTGAGTGGTGGCTGTGTCTGGCCCGCTTCGCAGCCGGCGGCGAGGCGGGGGACTGGCCTAGGAAGGCCGCCGATGAGGAGGTGGCCGTGAAAGTGACGGTGGACTTCGTCTTGCGCTGCTGGTGCTTGTACGCGTTAGATAGCGAGGAGTAGGTCCCGGCGGCGAAGCTACCTTGCCCCGGCTGGCACATGCTGCTGGCGAACTGGGAGGCGTGACGGCGGCGCATTCGGGAGCTGCCTAGCGATCGGGGCACCGTCTTAAAGTGCTCCGAGTTCTCCATTAGGAACTTTTCGATGCGCGCCTTGAGGGCGAGGTTCATTACTGCCTTGCGCTGTGAGGTATATTCGAGACCTGTAAAGGGATCTGAGGGCTGGCGACCCCACTTTCCCTCCTCCACGGCGTGCTTGTCGATGGTGGACTGGTCCACCACCTTGCCGGAGGGCAGCACAGTGGGAAAGATCTGAAAGCAAAGGAAATCCGTGAGCAAAAATTTGGGGAGGAGATTGTATTACAACACGGAATTTTACCATTAGCTCCCAGGTGATGGAGTCGAGGAACTCTTCGGGTAACGACAACGTGGACTGCTCGCGCAGCTCAGGTATGTGGCGAGAGGGGGACCTCTGTCCGGCTGGGTGCTGAGCCTGGTCCCGCTGCCCGAACGGATCGCTAATCTCGCTCCAGATGGTCTTCATCAGCTCGCGGTCGCCCTTGTCCAGGGAGCGAGCAGGCAGGCCCCAGATCTGAATCTTGCGGAGCACCGGGGGACAGCGCTCCGTGGCGCGGATCACGATCTTCACGCTGTTTGTGTTGGCCAGTAATTTGTGAGCCGTCTTAAAGAAGAACACCTTCTCGCTCTGCTGCTGGGCGGCGGCCGCACTGCTGCGGGAATTGTAATCACTCTGGTAACAGAAGGTGACCGAGTCAACACCCTTAGCCAGGTCGCGAACGTTCGCCACACGCTCCCAGATGCCGTCGTACTTGCTGTGAACCTCGAAGGCCGTGGACCGGAAGGCTCCGGAGGTGTGCCACAGCTTAATAACCTTCATGTCGATGGCTTTGGGTAAGTCAAAGACGATCTCGACTGGCGGCTTGCAGACGGCGAAGCACATAAAGCCGCGCTCCAGCTGCTCCCCATCGTTAGCTATCAGGTTGTCCGCCGTGTAGCCGTCCTCGCACACGGCCTCGCATTCCACGGAAGGCTTGAGTTTGGGGTTGAGGAAGTTGATTAGGCTACTCATGCCTCTCCCCTCCTCTCCACTCGAGCGTGCTCTAATCTCAAACGCTGCAGTTGGTCACGAGCCAGCACAGCTCGTGTGTGTCTCTGTGGTGTGTTGTGGTGTGGTGCGGCCCCACCTGCTCTTTATTCGCACAGAAAATGGCGTCACTGCCTCTGCCTCTACTTCTGCTCTGCGTCTCAGCGACAGCTTCCTGTCTGATGCGTTGCTGCTGGCGTAATCACAGTCCGAGCATGAAAAGGCAGAGCAGATCGCTCACAATTCACTATCCTTGATCCTGAAGAGAGTTGGAGCTAGCATCGGATTTTTATCGCCTTTTGGAATATTTATAAAACTCACTGGAGAACAGTGTGACCAGTGTGACCGCGGACTTATTGATGATATATACCGTGTGACACTCAGAAATATACCGTTTTATTTTTAAAATATACCGTAAATATACTGACGAATTATTAAAGTTCCATCATACATATTCCTGATTTTTGATATTCCGTCGAACATTACTAGGTAGATAGCACATTTAGCTATGCCCACATAATTTTATTCAATTAATGAACCTGTTTTCTACTTGATTAGCTTATTTTAAATACTCCCTTTTATTGGATTGTGTCTAAAATAAGGTTTAAAACGTAAGTGTGTATGGAATGTTACGTCATTGCTGGTCAACAGGTATCCGCTCTGACATCTCTATACCCAACTTCATTTGATTTATATACAAATTCTGTTTTTCAAGCTGATTTCGTTACCTTTACTCATCCTTGGCCTTCGTAAGCCTCCTTGAACTGCAAACGCTCGTTGAAATAGCTTTATAGCAGAGGTCAGTCTCTTATAGTCTTATAGTTTATGCATTCATTTAAGAGGTTAATATCCGTAATATCCGTCTAAATGTGTCTCAATAAGTATTGTATATATATCTTTGCCCACATATTTTCTGTATGATTTTCTCCACTACATGGTAGTGGTAATGTATCATGGCTTGTGTTCCCACTGATCAATCGACCCTCGGACACGCTCACTTGGACAGTGGGCTTCACCAGAGAACTTTTATTTGCATTTGTGGAGACATCAGGCAGCTGTGAATGGCATATGTATATTAGATAGATATACTCCTCCGCGCCTCGCTGGAGCTGACTCCTCTATAAATTGGGTTTCAGTGGGGTGGGAGTGGTCCCCCAAAGAAAATTCGAAGAAAAACCATAAATTATGTCATAAATATAACAAGATCCCATAATTAATCATCTGATTAAACTCTGATCTATTATATTTGCCATTTTGCGTGAGGAAAAAAGGTATGGACAACGAGCACAACGGCCCAGAAAACGCAACGCATGGAAGGTAAAATCAAGCCCAATATACTTTGAAGACAAAATCGGCTTTTTATTTTAAAGGTATATTGGGAGGGTTCGCCGAGGTGTGGTGCCTATGAACCTTGCATGTTGCTTTGGCTGTTGTCCATACCCCTGGGGCAATATTCCATTCCAAATTATCATTTTTTCGAGGTAAGAGAGGTGCAGCAGTAGGACCGACTGATCATAAGAAATATACCAAAATATACCGTTTCATTTTCAAAATATACCAGACTCAAGTCGACTCTTCTCGCGTTAAAATTATTGTTTTTTTTTTCAAAACGTCTCTGCAACACCGGTAACATTGATTTTGCGGTTTTTCGTATCTGGACATTTTGTTTTTTGTCAGCTGTTTTTTAAATTTATCGAAAATGAATTTGGAACTTCTAGAGATGCGCAATGTGGATCTCAGCTTCGGGAATTATGGTAAATTTTACATGTATACACATTTTGATACATGTCAGCTACATATTTATATATTTATACATTTACGTTACGTAGATTCCGTAGATTTGGGGCAAAGTGGAAGTTTTTGAAATTGACGGAAGACGGTGAGCCTCCACGGCGAGGGCAGAGCAAGTTTATACAAAACAACTAAATTTTTGGGTGCAAAACATAATTGAAGTTATATCAATTTTGTATACTAGGAAATAAGCCAAACCTCGGATTAAGGTCATGCTATCTGTGCCAGATCTCTTTCTGATTATAATAGTGAGTGGTGTGGCACTGGAGTTCCCAGCAGGGACACCTGATATGGAAGCTGCTTCAGGATGAATTGGTGAGGGAGCAAGCCTAGCAGCGACTAATTCTGGTGCTTTGGGGCTGGGTACCCGATCCCCATCTGGAGTGTTTCTGCCGAGTTGGGCTGAGTCGGCAGGCAAAACATTTGTATGAGGGGCTGCAATACAATCTGCCCCACCGGAGGCAGATTAGAGCCAGAGGCACTCGAGAAAGCCATAACAGCGCCAAAAATAAAAGTTCCCAGGTGGAATGCGAGAGATTATGGTAATCTTTGACGGTGTGAGCGTTTTCCCTTTCTTGTGAATGGCTTGACCATCAGTAGTTCGGAAGATAAGAACCGACTACGGGCGGATAAGCTGCGGCGAAGCTATAAGTGGACCTTCGGCAGGTGCGACGCCCTCAGTTGTGCAGTGAACGACGGCCATGAAAGGAATCGTGCTCTTGCTGCTCTGCAGTGCGCTGGTCGCATCTGCGGTCAACCTGCCAGGTGTGCCCGTGGACTTCGAGGTGGACGACAAGGTGCTGTCCGCCATTGCGGACGACGTGGCGGATCGGCTCGCGAAGGAATACCTCAACTACATGAAGACGGGTGTGGAAACGCCGGCCTTCAAGAAGCTGACCGCGCAGTTGGCCAATTCGCACAGCCAAAAGGACATTTTCACGCGGAACCTGCCCGAACTGGAGACGCGCGACAGCTTCTTCGTGTGCGTCGCCTGCCGCTCAGTGATGCGCGTCTTTGCCAAGACTATCCGGGAGGAGGACGGTGAACTCCACGGCGAGGACAGCGCAGAGTTCATGAAGAAGTTCGCCATGGACTTGTGCAAGCGCCTCAACCTGCAGACCGAGGAGGTGTGCGAGGGTCTGATCGACTCCAACCTGCCCAGCGTCGAATACATCATGCGCAACTCTGAGATTGACTCGCAGAGCTTCTGCTCGCTGTTCATGGAGTTCAGTTTCTGCAACACTGGCTCCAACCAGGATTACAACTGGACACTTACGGTGGACTCCACAGGCGAGGCCATCACCGGCCCCAAGGCGGACCCCCCTCAGGCCACCGATTCGGACATAAAGATCTGTCATTTCAGCGACATCCACCACGACCCGCTGTACGAGCCCGGCAGCCTCGCCTCCTGCGCTGAGCCCATGTGCTGCCAACGGAACCAGGAGACGGCGCAGGGGACTAGCGAGGCAGCAGGCTTCTGGGGCGACTACCGCGACTGCGACTTGCCCTGGCACAGCTTTGAATCGGCCCTTGATCATGCCGTGGCTACTGAGAAGTGCGACTATGTCTATCAAACCGGAGACATTGTTGATCACATGGTCTGGGCCACATCTGTGGAGAAGAATACCGAAGTGCTGACCAAGGTCAGCAGCCGCCTAAACGAGGCATACCCCGATGTTCCCATCTACCCCTGCATAGGTAACCACGAGCCCCATCCACTCAATCTGTAAGTAGTTAAATTCCTCATTCCATTCTATATTCAGTGCTGTGCTAATCCTCTCCCATTTCCAATCCTCTCTAATCTTATATTTCAGCTTCAGTCCCGAGGGTGTGCCAGAAGAGGTCAGCACCAAGTGGCTGTACGAGCACCTGTACAACGACTGGTCCAAGTGGCTGCCGGTCGAGACCAAGGAGACGATCCTCAAGGGCGGCTACTACACTGTCTCCCCGCGCCAGGGCTTCCGGATCATTGCCCTGAACAGCAACGACTGCTACACGGACAACTTCTGGCTGTACCACAGCGGCACGGACAAGATCCCGCAGCTGCAGTGGTTCCACGACACTCTTCTGGCAGCGGAGAAGGCAAGCGAGTATGTCCACATTCTCACCCACATCCCCTCGGGCGATGGCACCTGCTGGTCAGTCTGGGCCCGCGAGTTCAACAAGTGCATCACACGCTTCCGCGGCACAATTAGCGGCATCTTCACCGGCCACTCGCACAAGGACGAGCTATTTGTCTACTACTCGGAGGAGGGCCATGCCACCGCTGTGGCTTGGAACGGCGGTGCAGTGACCACCTACTCCGACAAGAACCCCGACTACAGGGTCTACGACATCAGCGCCAAGGACTTTGGCGTGCTCGATCACCGCACCTACATCTTCAACTTAACTGAGGCCAATCTGACACCCGATAAGCAGCCCGTGTGGTTCTTGGAGTACGAGTTCGCCAAGGAGTTCACACAGGACACCAGCCCAGCAGGCATTGACAAACTGCTGGATGAGTTTGCCGATAATCCGCAGCTGATAAGGAAGGTGTGTGGCAGTCCTCCCCCATCGTCATTGCTTTTAACTCTGTTCTGTTTCGTAGTACTGGCGGTTCCGGGTGACTTCTGCCGATCCGCAGATTAACCGCGGCTGCGATCGCGACTGCCTGGCCGGATCCCTCTGCCGCGCCTCTGTGACTATCAACAACCAGCGCGGACGGTGCGAGGAGCTCCGGGAGCGACTGTTTTTGGCTGTAAGTGCTGCACCATAGAAATCCGATAGAAATCATACCATTCCAATGCGTATCCTTTGTGTATCCTCAGCTGGACAACGAGGAGACCACCACACCAGGTGGCGATGATGACGATGATAATGATGATGATGGAGCCTCTACCCTGGGTCTGCTCAGTCTCGGTTCGCTGCTGGCTGTAGCTCTGTCCGTTCGACTTACCTTCTAACTTATACATTTATAGCATTTATAAGCATAAGTTATATAATTCCTTTGTGACTGTATCCCAATCCAAATCCCCACCAAGTGGCATATATAAGTATACGCTTATCCCTATCCAAGTTGCTAATCTCTTGTTTTTTTGGCAGCTATCTCCTGCCATATATAGAATTTGCTTGGCGACCTTATCAATATCCTTATCGGCTAATAGCGATCACGGCATTAGGACAAATTAACCAATTACCTGCTTCTGCTGATGGACGGCCATAAACCATAAACCAAGCCACTTGTAGCGCATTTTCATGTTAAAGGTTTATGGCCAAATAGTTATGATGATGATCAAGGTATCGCTGGGAGTCAAGCACGTGAATGAAAGGCCATTACGGGTGAGGAGAGGCAGTGTCGAAGAACAAATAGTAGTATGATTTAAAACGAATGTTAAGTAAAAACCTAAGAATAATGAGTAGCATCGAAATTTGATCGATAGGGTAGCACTTCCAACCATATAAATCTGCCACCGAATCGCCATTAGTATGGAATGATGGCTTATGCCATTTCCAGCAGCGATATCTCTGGGCCAGATAAGCCGCGGGTGTGATAGCAAGGCTATAAATATGGGTTAGGAACCGGTCCTGGCCATTAGTTTCACCATGAAGTTGCTCTGGAGCATAGCACTGCTGGGCATGGTTCTCTGCTTAGGCAGCCAGGCCTTCAACCTTCCCGGAGTCCCTGCTATCTTTACCAGCGAGGATCATCCCATCTCTGCCGTCTCAGGTGAGTGCTCTACGATTTCCTTATCGAAATCGAGATCGATTGACAGCTTCGACTGACATCAGATTGACTTCTCTTGCAGCTGGTGTTGCCGAGGAGATAAGCCGCGAGTTTGTCAAGTACCTGCGAACGGGTGTCGAGTCCGAGAGACTCAAGGAGCTGGGCAGGGAGCTGAGGGGGAGCCACAGCAAGAAGGCCATCTTCACAGAGTCGTTGGTGGATCTTACATCGGCAGACCAGTACTTCGTGTGCACTATCTGCCGCTCTACGATCAACGTCTTTGTGCGTACCCTTACCGACGGGGAGCTGAGCGGACCCAACCGGGAGGCGGAAGCCAAGAAGTTGGTGCTAGGCTTTTGCGACTACTTCAGCATCGCGACTCCGGAGGTCTGCTCCGGCTTGTTCGACCTCAACTGGCCCATCCTGGACTTTATCTTCAACGAGACGGCCGCCAATTCGCAGTCGTTCTGCGGCATGCTTCCCATCCCCATCTGCCAGGTGCAGCAGGAGGAGTTCAACCTGACTCTGACCATCGAGGGCGATTTTCCCACCGAGTCCAACTCAGATCTGGCCGCCCGCAGCCCCCAGGATCATCTCGTCCTGCATCTCACCGACATCCACTACGACCCCGAGTACAACGCCGGCGGCAACGCCGATTGCGATGAGCCCATGTGCTGCCGCAGTGCCCTGCCGCAATCGAGTCCTACTTCCTCTGCGGCTGGCTATTGGAGCGACTATCGCGACTGCGACACCCCCAAGCACCTGATCCTGAGCGCTTTCGACTACATTAAAGAGAACCACAAGATCGAGTGGATCTACCACACGGGCGACGTGCCGCCGCACAATGTCTGGTCCACCACGCGTCAGGGCAACATTGACATGCTCACCGAGATCGATGGTCTGCTGACTGAGTACTTCCCGGAGACGCCAGTATACTCCTGTCTGGGCAACCACGAGCCCCACCCGGCCAATGTGTGAGTGCTCCTAGTTCCTTTTTTGTGTTCCACATCTCACAAAGTGATTAAACCTATACCGTTCCTCTTCAAAGCTTTGGCAACGATGAGATCCCCGATTCCCTGAAGGTTGACTGGCTGTACGAGCACGTCTGGAAGCTGTGGTCCAAGTGGCTGCCAGCCGAGGCGGAGGCGACTGTGCGTCGGGGAGGATACTACACGATCTCTCCCAGCGAGGGGCACCGAATCATTGCGTTGAACAGCATGGACTGCTACCTCTACAACTGGTGGCTCTTCTACAACGGATCCTTGATCCAGGAGCAGCTGCAGTGGTTCCACGACACGCTCCTGGCCGCGGAGCAGGCAGCCGAGAAGGTGCACATCCTCTCGCACATTCCGTCCGGAGATGGCGACTGCTGGCCCGCCTGGGCCAATGAGTACAATCGGGTGCTGAATCGCTTCAGCGGCATCATCACAGGCATCTTCAGCGGCCACACGCACAAGGACGAGATGAACCTGCACTACACGGAGGAGGGCCTGGCAGTGGCCATAAACTGGAACGGCGGCAGCCTCACCACCTACTCCAACAAGAACCCCAACTACCGCCTATACGTACTCAGTCCTCCGACCAGGCAGGTGGTGGAGCACTTCACCTACACCTTCAACCTGACTGCCGCGAATCTGCAGCCAGAGCAGCAGCCCGAGTGGTACCTGGAGTACGAGTTCACCAAGGAGTTTACCGAGGACACCAGTCCGGCGGGCATTGATAAGCTACTCGTGGCCATGGCCGAGAAGCCCGCTCTGCTCCGCAAGTTCTGGCGCTACAAGGTGACCAGTGCCGATCCGAAGCTCAACCAGGGCTGCGACAGTGCCTGCCTGTCCAAAACGCTCTGCAGGATTGCCACCAGCAACTACCAGAAACGGACGCGCTGCCGTGAACTCCAGGCCATCCTCGAGAAGAGCGTGAGTAGTCCTGGCTGGACATGATTTTATCATTCACTTTATGACCTTTTCCCTTTGCCCTTTTCAGCTGGAGAATGAAGAGGAGGACGAGGAGGACAATGACGATGGCGGTGCCCCAGGACTCAAGGCCCTCAGTCTGGCCTCTCTCTTGGGGCTGCTGGTTGCATCCGCAGTCCTTATGTAACACGTCCTTCTTATCGATGCCCCCGTGTTTATAGCCCATATCATTAGGGGGAAATTATCGCTGATCGATTAGCGCGACAATAAACCGACTCGTAAAAGTTCAGAGAAACCCCAAAGATACCCCAGATGTGAGAGGGTTGGATGGATGGGATTGGCGGGGGTGGCAATAACTACACACGATTCTGGTAGTCAACACTCAGAATGTTCGATATACATATATATATATATAGTACATATATAGAGAGTCCCAAGATGCCTCTCGGGTAGCGAATACTTTGCGAATTACTAATAGCTTGGATTAAGTTTAAGTTTTAGTTTGGGTTTAAGCACTACGATGGAGTCCGGGGAGGGGGTGTCTTCGTCTTTGTCTTCGCTTCGTCTTCTGCCCCTGCCGCTGTCGCTGCCGTTGCTTTTGTACATACATATACACAGGTGGAACGAGTCCAGGACGTCGCTTAGAGCGCGCACATGAGCGTGGCGATGTCGAGGTCCTGCTCATCGGCCTTGCGGAGGATGAGGGCTGCCTGGTTCTGGTAGCGGCCCGTGGACACCAGGCGCACGGTGCTCACCCCGCAAAAAATTGCCTGCTCGGGTCCAGGCTCATTTCCGGCTCCACACACGGCGCTGGCGAGCTCCAAGCCATTGGCATCGAGACCAGAGGACCCGCCGATCTCCAGGCGATCCCCGAACGTCTGACACTAGGAGGGAGGGGAGAGATTACCCAAGAGCGAGCGGCCTACGCCCTTCAATACTTACGTCATAGTTAACCTTCGGCTGCGTTCGCACACCCTTGCCGCCGATCCGCAGACTGGCCAAAGACACGACGGCCGGAAAGAGCGCGGAGATGGTGCAGTTGCGGGCTTGTCCAAAGTTTGTCATCTTGTAGACGGCGGCGGTGTCCTGGACCAGTACATTGCAGGCTGTTGGACAGAGAAAGGTTGGGGGAGATGTGGGAGGGCACTGTGGGAGGAGCAGACTGGCGACTCACGTTGTGTGATCTTGTGGAAGCGCACGTTGGCCACGAAGGAGCCTCGGCCGGGGATGCGATACTGGAGCAGGGCGGCATTCTGGCTGGATCGGAAGAACTTCTTGTTGCTGATACGGGGCCTAAAAAGCAACGGAGAATTGTATTTATAAAGAGTCCCCAAAGTCCCCAAATGAGGATACACGCGCACCATTGCTTGTAGTTGTTGCAGAACTCGTAGACACGCTCCTCCAGCGGTCGATGGTGATCCTTGATGCCCGGGAAGTACTCACCGTTCAGCTCCCAGCCATCAACAAACTGCGGATGGAATGTGGAAGATCAAGGAGGAGCTTCATATGGGAATCCTACTGGCTTAACTTACCGCCATGAGGGCTCCTGTCTCGCAGTTGGCGTCGTAGTGCTTCATTGTAATCTCCACAATTGTGTCGGGCTCCCCAATCACATACAGGCCACAGACCTCGGGCTGCTCTTCCACTCCCACTCCCAGTCCCGATTCCAGTCCCAGTCCCTGACCAGCTCCAGCAGCTGCAACGGCTTCCAGCTCGAGCAGCGCCGCTTCCCGGTTGAGACCGGGCAAGGGGGCCAGCTTCTTGAAGATGTAGTCACCTGCCTCGGAGGCCACGTGCATGCATTCTGCGTAGAGGTTGAGGTGGAAGGAGTTGGATCGATTTAATGACTTTAATGCATTCAAATGCCCCAGGCAACACTCTAACAAAAGCCGTAACTGAAACCGAAACCAATTTGTCGGAATAGGAGAGCTAACATATAGTGGGAGTGTGGCTTTGGGGAGTCGTAATTGAAATCCCCTTTGACTGCCTCGCTCCCGGGCACGCATCCCCCTATCCTCTCTTGTCCAATGGCTTTGCAACAATTAATTTATCATGCGCATCCACTTAATACCCGGCCATCGTTGGCTGATTTATGGCCGGAATTATTAGCCAGACTTGGGCTCACAAGCCCACACACATACACACAAGCAGGGGATGGAGAACCGTTCACATATCCCGCCCACAAAGAGCAAACACACAAAAAAAACAAAAAAAAAAACAATCAAACTACTGCTTCTTGACTTCGTTTTTGGTCCTGTTCTCAATGCTTGTCACATACTCCGTTTTCGTCACCGTCTCCGCCTCTGCGGGTTTGTGTGTGGGTGCATCCCTCTGGAATCCCTCGGAAGGCACTAGTCTACGTAGAGGAAGGGAAGGAGTGGATAGGAGTGGAAGTGGAGTGCACGCGTGCCACTTGGCGCCAATTTGTTTATGAGACTCGCTAATTGCTTTTGAGTGGTCGCATTTCGGGACTTTTAACATATCAATTTATTGCGAATTACAATTAAATGAACATTATCCATAATTGATTAGACATTATCGTTTAATAATCATAACCGGATGCGGAGCAAACGAACGAACAATCATAAAATATGTCTGTGTGAGGTCTTCGAATTGGTTTTAGCTTTGAATACAAAGGCGAGTTTCCCATATTTATCAAAGATTCATAGCATACGCGTTTGTTCAAGTTCGCTACTTATTGCACATTCTTTGACCGCCAGAAGTTCAGGGCAGTCAACTTTTGCCGGTCAAAAATTGAATGCAAAATCTGCGGCTGATGACAAAATTAAGAGAGTTCAAGTTCGAGCTAGTATCCAATGATTAGAATTAGCATTTGAATCCTAGTCCATATTTATTAGTATCGTTTTTACAGCTTCAATAAAAACGAATTGCTGTGCTCCCTCTACCTTTGGTCTAACTCAAACCTGGATTACGGCAACTCATTTGTGAATCGAAATGATATTTTTGCAAATTCTACAAAATTGCTTTTCCTGGAAACTTCACGGTGACGTCGTTCCCATGGGGTACCCTCCAACACCCCCTCCCCCCTGAAGTTTACCTTTACCGTTGTCCTGGCTATAAATAAAAGCAATTATAAATCGGCATTGCCACAGATTTGTGGATGCCTCGACTGAGGATGATGCTGATTTTGATGCAACTTTCTGTTTGGCCCTAGCTTCCCATGCGGTTGCTTTGACGATTATCCTGTGAAGGGATGGGAGGGAAGAGTTTTTGTACGAGTGGCACGAGGTGCCACTCCCGAATTTGATTAAGTTTCCCTACATCGGAATCCCAATATTTCATTCAGCTCTATTGACATTTGGAGTGGCCACAGATTTGATTTCTTCCATTTGGTCAAATGGGGAGTGCACTTTTATTTGAATTTGGATGATCAATGAATTCCTGTTCCTGTTGCTGTGGTGAATAAATTGCGTATACGACATGTGGCCCGACCAGGGAAAGGGAAACGGCACCAACAGGAAGCCAACCCGAACACAACTTATGCGAAAATCAATTTGAGAGACAATTTTAGCTGCGACAAGAAGCAAACAAGGTTTTGAAGGCGCTTAAAACTTGTCACAGTCCCCCTTTAGCCCCGAGGCACTTGACTCAAAAGTTGACTTTGCTTCCGCCCTTCCGCCCTTCGTGCGTGTTACTGAGCTGCTTGGAGTGCTTCACTTACCTGCCACCGTGTGCACATTGTGCGGCATCGCCGGGCTGGGGTACAGCTCAAAGGAGCGCTTCACACTGGGCCATGCCTGAAACGGAAAGAAAGTAAAAGGAGCATATAAGACGAGACCTAAATTGGAAACCCTCTGGCAAATGGCAGCCCATGCAACGGAACGTAGCAGTCAGATCAGGGTCTACGTCTTCGTCTCCGTCTCCGTCTCCTTTCAGCCATTGAGCCATTCAGCCAACACAAAAGACAGACACCCCAAATGGGGGAAGGAGAAGCCAGCAAAGGATCAGCGGGTTGTCCGCTGCTAATGCCCACCGACTTCTGTAGTTGTGCCCCAGCGGGGGGCAGCTCTCTAATGCGGCCTGGCACTTAGGGGCCCGCCACCACAATGCAAATGCAGAGGGGCAACGGGGAAGGGAGAATGGCAGCAGGGACAGAGGTCAGCCAATGCAGAGGACAATAGCCGGGTTTTAATTAAACGACCACACACGATTTGCCAATAAACAAGAATCGGAGCAGATGACGCCCGGCACGTGCTCAGCTCCCCTGATGGGGGAGGGGCAGGGCTCATGGGTGAAGGGACATTATAAGCCTGACAAATCGCTGGAAAAGTTAAAAGTTAAAACCGTCCCGACCAGGGCAAAATAACTTTCATCTTTGGGTCCCTTTCTTGGGCCTGCCTTTTGGCTTTTTATGATTGATTGGAGGTACATTTGCGCTGATTTTCTTGTTAATTGAAAACGCCTGGAGGCGCCCACCCTCCTAATGGTGTATCCCCTAAGGAGAGGGGGTGATAAATGTCGACGCTCTAATAATTCCGCTGGAGGAACAAAAAACGTTCGGATTTTGGTTAATTGTTTGCGCAACACTCGAGAGCTTGCCCTTAACGAGCCGCCCGTTATGGAACTGTCAATTAGTGGCGGTTTTGGCCAAAGCCGAAGCTTTAAGCCTAAGCCCTGCTATACCCTGACAAAAAAAATTGTTGCCTCCCTGACGTCACGAATCATCCTTCGACGCACATTCGCCGTAGAGTGGGAGTGTGCAGTGGAGAGGGGAATACGGGAATCGAGACTCTTCCAAGTCTCGATAAACTGTCAACAGGCGGTAAATAAATAATAAACATGATCCCTTTGAACACACTTGACGCTGCCTCATTTGCATAATCACAGTGTCGGATTTGGATTCGGGATTCGGGATTGGGATTGGCCCCCAGAGAGGGGTATCCAGAAAGCCTTTGTCCAACAAATGAGAAAGTTGCGCCAGCTGCTCCCAGAAGCAGCAACATCTGCGTTAGACCCGAGCCAAGGTTGGATGGCTATCAGAGAGTTGCCACGGGGATCCATTCAAAGGAGCCAATCCTGGCCAGAGGGGGAGCACCACGAGGCAGCAGAAGTCACGAATCTAAGAATAAAATATCTCCCTCAGCCATTCGATGGCATTCACCCTTTACCTCTTCCTTTCAGTTCAACTTCACTTCCCTGTCGTCTCCATTCCATTATCCGCAAGAGCATCAGGTATTCTTTTTATTATTAGCAATTGTTCATTCATCTTTTGCGCAGTTCAAGAGTCGCTTGCATTGATTAATGAGTCTCTTGTTCAGAGAGTAAGTCAATTCCGAGGCTCAAACAATGCACGGCTTAAGGTGGAACGGTATTTCGGCTACGGAGCTGATCTACTGGCTGGTGGCTGTGTTGTCTTCCTTTCAAGGTCGTCATTGTGGAATCTTTTGTTCTGTCTCTGTTGGGTCTCGCTAATTAGCCAAGGATATGCGTGTCAGGTATGGCCGGGATTCAAAATTCCCCAAATATTTGTGACTTCATTAAAAGTTGCTTGCGACAGCGGAGCGGATTGCGACACCTACGCGGCTTCGGCAGCGGAAGCGACGGAAGCACCTTGAGAGCCTCTCCTTCTCTTTCACAACATCCTTTTTGGGGCCCAGGCAAATATTGACTTTACACATGGCGGAAGGGGCTTCAGTAGTAATCCCTGAGTTCGGCAAACACTCCAGTCTGCATCCTCGGCATCGTTCCATCAGGCCATTGTGTAGGACTGCGTGGTGTGGGAGTCTATGGTGGCGGCATGACTAAGTAATGAGGCATCTTCAAAGGCGACAGGACTCTTTCCGAACAGGAGAGCCGGAGAAGAGTCTTTCTGACCATGAATAAGTGATGTAAGTGATGTACTGAGCAGCAACAGGCTGCCATTGAATGCTGTCCAATCATCAACTATTCAGACGCATTTATGGCCAGCATAAGTTTCACTCAAGGAATCTCTGTGGAAGGATTCCGCTAACAGAGTAATGGTGGCTCAAATATGCGCATAATGCCGGAACCCAATGGAGTATTAGCATTTAGCATTGCTCCAAGTCGAAATGAATCGCCTTGAAATGAGCTGCGAACGGAAGGACTTATGCGGAACGAATTGGTGCGTTCACAGCGGGCTTAGCGATGGAAGATGCTCCTTCACTTTCAAAACTTTCACCAAAAGCAGCTCCCTCAAAGCGAGGACTTGTTCAATTACCATCGACAGCTCATCCAACGTTCTACTCCAATTAGAGAGCTTCTTAACATTGACAACCCACAAACAGCCGAAAGCCGCAAATGAATTCGATTACGCACACGCACCGCTGGACGAGAGCGTCATTGGCTTTAATCCTTTAATTAATTTTCCGCAATCACAAATGAAGTGTGAAATGCAATTTATCATAAATTAGAAAAGGGGAAGCCTGGGTCTGGAAGGTGTCTACAAGAAGAGTAACTCTTCTCCTGGAACCAGAAATTCGATATAACGTCGTGCATGTGAATCCCTTTGCAGCTGCTGCATGCAAAAGAAGAAACCCGCTGCCAGGACGGAAATTAGTTCTGCCTCAAATCACACCTCCCACACGCATACACACACACACACACGTACACAGGGTCTTCTCGACATGTGTATAAGTTTTATTAAACATTTGGCAACGCAGATTTATTCACAATTCTGCAAGAAGGAAATCGGTAACCCGGCATAAATTTAGCGCACCTGTTGGGAGGACAGAACATATGGAAATTGGAGGGAGTTTGCACTATACAATCCGCATAGTTTAGCATAAGATTAACCTTTTGTTTGTAGCTAAACCAATTAGAGGAGAACTCATGGCCATCGAAGGGAGTGCACTCGAATTAAAGGTGGTTCCTTCGGTTCAATCTTCAAGAATACTTATGTATTCTTGTTCCACATAAGGGTCTCCAATTATAACAGATCTACTGAAATCTGGAGTAGAGACGGCGAAAATACATAGCCAATTATCTCTTGGGTTCAACCTTCTTGCGACGCTCCAATTCGAGACCGAAGCAATTGGTGAAGACATCTCTAGGGTGGATACTGCTCCTACACACATTTCTCTTCTACGTATTCTGCTCCTTTCTAGTGGTTTTGACATTGATGTTTTAATTGTTATCGCCCTCACATGTTTCCCGTGCGAGAGTGGATTCTTCAGTAGGAAGAGGAGAACCCAAACATGGACAGGGGTGTGGCTGTGGGCGGGGTCAAGTCATGTCCTGGCGTAAATGGCTGTAAAGTGCCAAAGCGTCGGTGTCAACATGCGGCATTTAAACGCACTTCGAGTGATGGGCTCCCAGGGGGAATGGACACCACAGGGGGACAGGAATGCAATCTCGTATCCCATTCTGAGTGAGTAGTCACTGGCCACACAAAGAACGACTGTCGCAGGCAGGCAGGCTGCATTGCAGTTTCACTGCACTACGCTCATCAAGTGAAATCGCTTTTCCGTTCAGGTTTTCCCTGCGTGTGACTGTTCTGTTGGTTTTTTTTTGCCCCTCCCACTGGGGACTGCTGTGGGGAGGGTTCGGTTCGGTTCTGTTCTGTTCGGCTCAGTGGCAGGTGGGAAAATTTACATTTATCCCACTTTGACTGCGGTCTTGGTCGGAGACAAAGTTGCACCTGAGCAAACATATCGGAAACGAGCAAGGTGATGGATGGATAGCTCATAGCTCCTTCCGTCCCTTTTTTTCCCCCAAAGAAAGATGGATTCGATTTGCTATTTTAAGACCTGATATCTCTCTTATTCGAGTCTCAATCATAATTAGCTGATTTGTCTGCAGCCAAATGTCGGAGGAAACTTTTGCAGGATTCGGGCTATTCTCATTCCCCTTTTCCGGATTCTCGCACTCCCCATTCTCCAGTGAAATTAAATATTTATTTGTGTTGGCTGAAAGTTTGACCTGATGACCCGATTGAGCCTGCCCACGCTGAAGGCATTCATAAATTGCTTTCCAGCCCGCAATCACTCCAATCTGAAGAGTTCGAGGCCTAGCTTGCAACGTGACTCTAATGAGGGTAATATTTTCTTTGGCAGAAGCCAGAAGTCGAAAGGCTCTGAAAACTTTGGCAATAAGGCGACACAACACGACACACGCTGCGAACGGGAATCAATCAATCAGAGGCCACACAATCCACATCCACATCCCAGAGGGAACCAATTAGATCAAGTCATTAGGGCAAAAGACGAAACAAAAGTTGGCCCAACTTGTTGATCGAATTACGGGCGTGTGGCCGCATTTCCTTCCTCCCGAATTCGAGACGACAAGACACGACACTCACCTGAACGCCCAGCACAATCATGGACAAGTAGAGGTAAACGACCAGCTTCATTGCGACGGCTTTCGCGGGTTAAGCTGAGGCGTGAAATTGCCAATTGCCTTGGGAACTGGAGTTTCCACTGAAGGCCGCTTTTCAATTAGCGGACGGCCCAAAAGTGTCGCGTCCGGTTCTGCCGCTTTGATCCTTTGCCTGAACAGAGCAGCGTCCTAAGCCGATTCCAAAGATTAGAAGCGGAATCACGCACTCAATAACTTCATTAAAGCGCGAAATGAACGACAAAAGCACGCGAAGCGGACGGGGACACGCGGCGTATACTGGATGCGGGTTTGAATTTGGATGAAGAAACCGTTAAGGGACGGGCAGAAACCGATGCAGTGCAGGCCTGGTGCTGGTGCTACTTCCGCTGGTCGAATGGTCCAGGACGATGCGTCAACGCTGCCGCACGACGACAGAGTGTTGGCCCTTATCAGTGGCGCCTTTCCTTTTATAGCCCTCGTCCTGGGTGTAGTTTCACTCCCACTCCCGATGCTGCATGGCTGTCGCTGTCATCTGTCGATGAACGCTTTGTCCATTGTCCTACGAAAGTTCCTTGGTCTTCCATTGGATTTCCGTTTCTGTTTTCTCCCTCATTCAGTTTATTTTCCATTTCTTCATTCATTTTCCATTCGCATCGGCAAACGGCATTTGAAATGCTTGCCGCTGCTTTCAAATTCCCCTTTCTAAAGCTTTTTTTGGTGAGTTACCGGAAGCATATCGTTGCCAACAAAGAGAGAACAAGAAAGCTCTGCTAAAAGCTCTTTTAACTGAGAAACGGCTTTTATTTGAATTAACATAAGTGCGTATAGTACTTTGGAAATTACAGAAATCTTTTAGTTTAAATCTTTACTTATCAAAAAGGGTACCTTGTGGGATTAGTCCTACTTTAGGCCCATATCCAGGGAAGGGGACATGGCCACAGGTATGGGCACATTCCGTGGATGGTTAACATCCCCTCTATCGTAGTACCCGCCCAGATGCTCCCCTGGCACATGGTAGAGTCCGTAGTGTAGACCATTGTTGGCCACCTACGAGAACGAGTGAAACTTGAATCAGATCAGACCCTAGACCCATGACAGACACTTACCCTCTTCAGTCCATTGATGGAGGCCAGCAGCAGGGCCATCTTAGCCAATAGCAGGGCCTTTCCACTGACTATGGAGAGCATCTGGAAGCCCATGGGCACGAGGATAGCCCCTAGAGCGGTGACTCCAAACATCATCGTGATGATCATGTTGTAGCGATGTCTCCTCAGACGAGCGCTTCCCACAAGCTCTGAGGTGGCTGCCTCTGCGACATGAGAAAAGAAATGCATCAGAAGTCCGAATGGAAATCGATTGAACCTACCGCTGCTGAGATACCGATCCGTCAGCTTTCCCAGATTTACTTGAAGTGTGTGCGTGGTGAGCCCCTTGGCCAGACTGACGGCCAGTTGATCGAACCAGGTGAGATGCTTAAGGTCTGTGCGCTCCTCTCCAGCTCCCAGCGAATGCGCGGAGTCATTAGGACCGGACACCAGGCGCACGCCCTCGTAGAGCGGAATCTCCTGGGCAGCCATGATGCCATCAAAGAGGCGCAGACTGCGCGAGCGAAAGCAGGACCACAGGCTAGGAGACGTTCCAGATCGATAGCACTCCCGCAGATCGCTCCGCAGCTGCCGCAGCTGGGCTATCCATGACATGCGGGAGTCCCTATCCGTATCCGTATGCGTATGCGTATCCGATGTGGCATCCGCCTGAGGAGATCCAGCCACAAACTGCGCTAGGAGGCATCCTCCCACTATCAAAACTAGAACCGCTTTCATTCGCATTGTCTTGCCTTCGAAGTCGGAATCGAAACTGCATCTGCTGCGCCTATGTCCACACACTTTTTATGGACAACTGATGGTCATTGATCGGAGACCGATCTCGTCCAGTGCACCCGGTCATTAGGCCAGAGACGATGGGTACCGTCTACTCTGCCCTAATATGCTCTCGTCTGCTCTCTAACGGTCGCCTGGTCTCGAGACCTGGCTTTTGGCGGTCATGGTCAACGGGTACCTTCGATGGCGAGGGCGTGGCAGCTGACTTCGAAACCGAGTCTGAGTCTGGCCGATCGGAGGCGGCCTAGAAAGGCAGCCATGGCCCGCCATGGAATTAACTTGTCAACATCGATTTGCAAATTATTCCCCACGATTCTAATCAGATGCGTTTTGGCCCTGTTAGCATGTGGCTGTGGCTGAGGATGGAGTAGTGGCAGTGTCAGTGACAGTTGCTCATGTATTAGCCGCTCGATTGAGTTGGCAAGTAGCTTTCAATAGCGAGCATCGTTCAGGGGCGGAACCCTAGATATGTATGGTATCTCCGAGCACGAGCTAGTTTCTTTAGCAGTTGGTAGAGGGAACTAGGACATTGAAAAGGGAACAGAGAAGGTCTGTCGAAGATACCTTATACTGTATATGGGATTCTTTAATAATAATTCCAGATAATTTTGTTTTCAACATAAAGTTTATTGGTTTATTCTTTATTAGCTAAGAGGTCATTCATTGCATTTCCTTTGCTTGATAGTTGTTTTGAACAAATTCGTATTAAGATTAGAAGGATTACGCTTTAAAAGTTCCATTGAGTGCAAAAGTTGACGTTCAGTGATTGGGTTGGTAATTGGTAGGTAATTTAGTGGCTCTAGATTTTTTAACTAGTTAACAAAGTTTACAAAAAACAGTTCTACACTTTCCTAAATAGAGTCTCCCCATAAAATCTTTAATATACATACATTTTCCTATGGTTTTCTTTTTCTTTTGGTTTGCGTGTACGTAGAAACAGTTGTTAAGAGTCGACTGCCACAAGGGCAGTTTTTCGCTCCCGTTTTTCAGATACAATAGTACTATATATTCGGACGATCTCCGGTTCGATCTTCCCCGCCTAAACGTTAGAAAAATCTTCAGTGCTTCTCTGTGTGTGTGTGTATGTGTGTGTAAACGCGTCCTAGCAAAAAATATATGCTCTTTTTTCTAACTGTGCACCACTGCTCTGCTCGGATCGCCCCAATCCTGCGGGACAACTCTTGGACTATGGGGCGCTGGGCAGGCGATGGCGCAAGTACAATCAGGAGGCAGTCGTTGTGCCGGGCGTGGCAGCGGCGGCTCCACGACCGAAACGCGGCAGGTACAGGCCGAACTTGGACTCGACGCCGGCCAGGAGAGGCACTGCCGCCTTGTAGCCTCCGATGTGGTCCTGCGTTGCAGCACTCTCTAGCGAAGTGGCGGGCTTAAGCAACTCGGATCCGCGGGGCTGGGTGCCGCCAAAGTCTACGTAAAAGAGGCGCTGCATCAGCTCGTAGGTGACAAGGGTGACGCCGAACTGTGGCGACGACCGGAAGACACGAGCTGAAGGAGAAACAAGCAGAATAGAAATTATAGTTTGGAGCTTCGACACGTAGAGATATTATTCGTACCTGCTGTGCCCTTCCAGAACGCACGGGGACCTTCCTCGGCCATGATCTTCTTGGTGGCATCCCAGACGCCCGTGTAGGTCGTCTGACCGGACCGAGCCACCACCTGCAGGCGCGTCTTGATCACATCAGCGGGCGTGACCAGCGAGGCGGCGGGAACTCCGGCAATGGCTCCGGCGGCCAGCAGGGTCAGCGGGTGGTTATAGCCATTCTTGTCGGCCATCATAGCCTTGGTGTGGGCGTAGGTTGGGAAGTAGATGGCCGAGAAGGGTACATCGCGCAGCAGACAGGCACGGGCTCCTTTGTAGAGGCCGAAGAGACCCAGCTCCCGGACCACAGACCAGGCACGAATCTTGTTGCCGCTGGCTATCTCACCCGCCACCTGCAGCCGGATCTTGACGATCTCCAGCGGATTGGTGAATACCACTTGGGAGGCACCCGCACAGCCTCCAGCAAGGATCTCGGACCACAGCGGGATGTTGCCCCGATTGTCCGTGAGCTTGTCGCGCACCAGATCGTTTACCGTCAGCTTGATGGCCTTCTCCGGTGCCACACCCATCAGCTGGGGCAGCAAGCCTCGATACAGACCCAACGCGCCCTCGTGACGAATGACCTTTGGGAGTGTGGGGAGTGTGGTCAGTGTTGGAGAGTGATAATTTAGAGATCAGGAATAGTCACCTTCTTGAAGCAGTCCCAGGAGTTCCTATAGGCCACCTCCCCGATGTAGGAGCCAGCCCGCTGGTTCTGCATGCGCGTCTTCACAAGATCGATGGGGTAGACCACAGTAGCCCCCACAGCTAAAACAGAGGCAGAGAGGCAGCAAGTGGATTATCATCATCGGGGAATAGGGTGTTTCATGATGGATGGAGTACACACCTCCAGCAAAGGAGCCGAGGGTGAATCGGTAGGAGCTCTCCAGCACCTGGATGAAGGCCGAGCGGTCGGCGGGGCTCTCCACGGCCTTGATCTCGGCGAGGCGATGTGTGATATGCTTGGTATAGTGCTCGGGCGCAATGTTGCTGAGGTCGCTGTAGTCGATTCGCCTGTGGAGACGATAAATGGCCAAGGATTAATGAAGCTGCTCTTATAGTGGGATCTTATGGACATGGGCTTATAGACAACGACTGGTTATGGTTATGGTTATGCCTGGGTGGTTGGGAGGTGGGGATACTCGGATACTTGGATAACGAAAACAAAACTGAGACCAGGGACCACTTCACTTGCCTACGCGTAGCAGCCTTGCGCTTCTTGCGCTTCCACCACCTGATATCGAGATGAAACGCGGAACAATTTCGAGGAGTGCAATGCAGGAGGGGAGAAACAGATACAGATAAACAGATGGAGAGAAAAGATACAAAGATGCAACGATTAGCACATTTTGATTGACATTCAACTAAGGGATCCCAAACATTTCACGGACATAGGTATTCTTTCACCCACTCTCACAATCTTTCACATAAAACCACAAGTCACCCCCTAACGAAGCTCAGGGATGATCTCTTACCCCGTCTGCTGGACGGTCCCCGTCAGCTGGAAGAGAATGTCTATCTCCAGGGGCGTGATCTGACTCATCGTCTGGGCCGCATACAGGAGCTGGTCCTTGGTGACGGGCTCGGATCGGTTGCCCTGGGTGGCCTGCAGGTATACCTGCTTGATCAGCTCCATGTTGTTCAGCAGCGAGGTAAATGCGATGAAGTAGGGGAAGCTCACTTTGTGACCCTCCGTGACCTGCACAGCAGAATGGTCCATTATTTTGGGAACAGTGAAAGGAGGAAGGTTCATCTACTAACCGCCACCAGATTGTCCTTGACGTCGGGTGTGAGTAAATGCCGCTTGACCTTAACTATGATGTCCTGGAAGTCTAGGGGGGAAATAAATCCAGTGCCAGCTGGATCCTTGCTGCGGAATGCCTCCATGGCGTGCTCCTCGTGGAAGTCGTGCAGCAGTTG